TGGGCCTGTCCATAGGGCAAGGGTTACCACCTTGTCAGCGGCGTTGTAAAAAAGGGTGGTCTGGGCTGTTGTTTGTGTGAATATCGGTAACAGCATGCACAGCGACAGCAAATCCGGGCGTCATTTCTTTGACCACTGTTCACATTTCTCGGAGGAGCAATCTTCACCTGAGATTGCGCCTGATTCTGAGGCCTGCACATCTCGGGCCAATGCACGTAGAACCTGTCTTGTGGGACAAAATATCCCGAACGTCTCGGATGGCCGAGAAGTTGGTTGAGCATCGGGTGTATGGGGAACCTGAAGTGCCTCTAAATGATGTGCCGAATCCCGATTCCCCAAACTGGAGTGCCACCCCACCGTCATTATATGCGATGTGTCGTATCGGTCCTCCGCAAGAACTGGTGGCTCGGTTCTGAGCAACAGAGTCTGGTTGTTGGAACATGGCAGGTTTCTCCTGACCTCAAAACGAACCTGACAATTGAGGAGCAAAGTGAACGAGTATCGTCGACATCGAACGTGTATGCAGCTGCCGAACCGGCGGAACAGCTTCGTGGCGGGGGACAAGCACATGACCCCACGAAGCTGGCATTGTCCGGCGACAACAACCCCACTGCGCAACTTTTGACTCAAATCTCAGCCGGACCGTCGCTAATTGGCTGCTGAGATGGGCAGCCAATCCGGGCCATTTAGTCGGCGGCAACTGACCTTCGTGCAATGTGGGAGACACAAACGTGGAATGCGGGGGCAACCAACCAACCCACCAGTCGGAAATTTGAATGCCCCTGGGGTTTCTGCAGCACGAGACAGCCAATTTCAAAATCCAGCCCCCAAACCCTAGTGGTACAAATACCTTCACACTCTAGGTTTTTCCCTCACAACCCAAAAAGACACTCTGATCAGCAAGTCACTGATTCACTCTAATCAACTCACTGGTCCACTCTGATAAGCACACTCGGAGCAGCAATCTGGCGATAATATCCACGCAGAGTGCACCGACCTGGCCATTATTAGTACGCCCAAAAACAGTCAATCCGCGCAGCAGTTGCCGCCCATGTTTTCTTGGCGGAAACGCATTACTAGAGGTGACAGGACGCAAACGGTAGTTTGATGGCCGTTTCCGAAACCGACAGCCATACCATTTTCCAGGAGTTACAGAAGCTATATGCTTCGATGGCGCTACATTCCACGCTAAATTTCAATTAGATTACAGCCTAGGGCGCCGTCTAGACTCTTGACATCATGGATTCAAGCCCTTCTTTTTACTGCCAGTAGTAGACCAATCATTGGGGCAATGAGGCAGATCGAGCTTGCAGAGAGCGCTGGGGTTCCTGCATGTACGGCAGCACATCTTAGCCCAAGTCTGACTGCCAAAGTAGAGGCCTCAGAAAGTCCAAGTGGTAGTAGGGGCAGTCCAAATGTGGCAAAGGGCGGCCCAAGTGCCGCGGTGGCCGTGGCTGAAGACGAGGGTTTGCCTCCCGGGATCAGATTCCGGCCGACGGACGAGGAGCTGCTGGGGTACTACCTCCGACGGCGCGTGGAGGGCCGGCCGATTGCGTGGAATGCGATTGGCGATGTGGATCTGTACAAGTTTGAGCCCTGGGAACTGCCTGGTATGATGCATTCAGTGCACTACTATCCCTGATCTGTGAGCTGCTGTGCTGCGGCATGTGTATGTGCTGCCCCATTGTGTGGAATGTGGTTGGCAATGTGGAGTTGGAGCCATGGGAACTGCCAGGTATGCACTCTTCGCTCCTATGTGCGGCACCTCCATCCCTGATCTGTGTGCTGCTATGCTGTTGTCCTGCTCAAGTGCCTCACACGGGCACGCGTAGATCCTGCCCCATCGCATGGAATGTGATGGGCGATGTGGGGTCGGAGCGATGGGATCTGCCAGGTATCACTCTTCACTCCTTTGTGTACTTCCATCCCTGATCTATGTGCTGCTGTGCTGCTGGTACCTCAAATGTCACGTGTCGATAATGCCCGATCGCGTGCAATTGGCGAAGTGGACCTGTGCAATTCAGAGCCCTGGGAACTGCCACGTACGCACTCTTCAGTCCCATGTGCACTTCATCCCTGACCTATGAGCTGCTGTGCTGCTGTGCTGATCTAAGACCTCAGACAGCCCGTGTAGATCCTACACGAGTGCGTGGAATATGATTGGCGGTGTGGGCCTGTAAGTCGTAGCCATGGCACATGGGAGCTTCCACTTACTAAACTTTATGAGCTTGCACTATCTCCCTTCTTCCAATATCCATATACACACCATCCCATCCCTCCCCCACACTCTTGTGACACACATGGCTGCTTTCTCAAGAGCTGCACCCCTTTCCTTGCATCTAAAAGGCAATATCCCTTCTTCCCATATCCATACACACACCATCCCTCCCCCCATTCCCCCGGCTCACACCGTATGACACGCATGGCCGACTGCACCCCTTTCCTTGCCTCTGAAAAAAAACAACTATATTCACTCCCAGCCACAGCGGCTGCGCTGGAATAGAGCTTTTGAAAGCACAAAAAAATGCGGGAGATCGGCAAAAATATTGCATAATCATCCAACCTTCATATTTCCCTAGCTGTTTCCTGCCCCCTTCCTCAAACTCCTAAACCCTAGGGTCACCCTTGACTGTCCGATGCTTATTCCAATTTCTCACACAACCCCTCCCTTCCCATTCACAGCCAGAGCAATGAGCCCCAGTGCTGGTGACGGCGGGTGGTTCTTCTTCACTTCACACGACCCACCCCACTTTCCCCCTCATCCCTCCCTCTACTCCAAAAACAGCTAGAGAAACGAGCCCTATTACGGGTGATTCTTCTTTGCATCGCGAGGCCTCAAGTTCCGCTCTCCCCCTCTTATCTCACCCACCCTTCCTATTCACAGCCAGAGCAACGAGCCTCATTGCTGGTGATGGGGGGTGGTTTTTCTTCTCATCGCGCGACCTCAAGCACCCACTTCCCCCCTCATCCCTCCCTCTACTCCACAAACAGCCAGTGCAACGAGCCCCATTGCTGGCGACAGCGAGTGGTTTTTCTTCGATTCACCGACCTCAAGAACCCCTCTTCCCCCTCCATCTGTGCCTCTCATGCTTCCCTTCTCTCCCCAAACAGCCAAAGCGACAAGCCACATTATTTTTCACGAGACCTCAAGCACCCCACTTTCCCCCTCATCCCTCCCTCTGCTCCACAAACAGCCAGAGCAACAAGCCCCATTGCAGGCGACGGCGAGTGGTTCTTCTTCGCATCGCGCGATCTCAAGTACCCCTCGGGGTGTAGATCCAATCGGGCGACGACAGCCGGATACTGGAAGGCCACGGGGAAGGACAGACCCGTGCACGTGAGGCCGCCGGGGGGCAGTGGGAGCGGGAGTGGTGAAAATGGGGATCAGGCAGTCAGAATGGGATTTAAGAAGACGCATGTCTTTTACACGTGAGTTCCTTGTTAAGGTGCCCCCCCCCCCCGCCCTCCCCCCTTTCTCCCCACTCCCCAAAAACCCATTTCCCCCTCTGCTTTTCCTTCAGCTTGCTGGGTATGGTCTTTCTATTGTTCTGATGGTCGGTGTCCTACTCCTGTCAACCCTTGGTATCTTTTTCTTCTGTTGGTGCGGTGAACAGGGGGAGGGCGCCAGGAGGTAACAAGACCGACTGGGTCATGCACGAGTATCGTCTCGCAGAGGACCCGCCTGTAGCCGCAGCTGCTACAGACGTATCTGTAGCTGCTACAGACATAGCCGCAGTTGCTACAGACGTAGCTGGAGCCGCGAAAGACGTAGCAGTCGGATACGCAGTGGCAGCAGCAGCAGGGCCAGCTGCTGCTGCTTCTACAGACGCTGACCTTGCGGGTGCGAAAAGCAGCAGTCCAAAGCTTAGCAGCATTCTGGAAATAGATGCAGGGTCGTGGATGGTGGTGCGTGTACTCAAGCGAAGCCCCCTGACAGCGGAAGAGCAGGCGATAGTAGCACAGCAGGGAGGGGGACTTTTCCAAGGGTTGACGTCATGGTTTTCAACGCAGCAGCAGCAGCCAGCAGCAGCAGCAGCAGGAGGAGAGAGGAGGAGGGCAGCAACAAGAGGAGGCAGGTCGGCAGCCGAGGGGGGAAGGTCAGCAAACAGTGGGGGCAGGTCAAATTACTGGAGATTGGAAAGGAAAACGGGAGCAGGAAGGTGGGGTGGAGAAAGGGATAGCAGGTCAACAGGGTAGGGTGATTCGGCACATGGCGTATGGAGGCAGTGGCATGAGGGGGAGAGGGGTAGAAGGGGTTTGTGGGACAGGACACAGGATGGGAGTTTTTTCGCCAGCAGCGGCAGCATCTCCAGAGGATGTGATCGTTATTTCCAGGGGTAATTCACCCTCAAGAAATACCGCCCAGGGCAACTCCCAAACAACCCTCACAAGCACCCATTCACCCATCTCCTCGTCCTGTGCAATGTCCATAGACGTTCAGAGCAGCATTGAGAGAGGCCGGCCAGCAGTAGTAGCAGCAGCAGCAGCGGATGTAGCAGGAACAGGAGCAGAGACACAGCAGCGGATGTAGCAGGAACAGGAGCAGCAGTAGTAGCAACAGCAGCGGATGTAGCAGGAACAGGAGCAGCAACAGCAGCGGAGGTGGCAGGAGCCGGAGCAGCAGTAAGAGCTGGACCCAGCAGGCAATCAGCCCAGCCAGGGTTTTCGCAGGCCCTCTACCACGATACACTTCCATCGTTCAAGCATTATCTGTTTGAAGAGAAGCAACCAGGCGGTAGGGGTGCTGGTATGGAAGGGAGGGGAGTGATTGAGGGGTACGGCAGGGAGGGGGGGAGCTGGAGGGGGGAGACAGGAAGGGGGAAGTCAGGGAGGTGATAAGGCGTCTAGCGGGGTCTAGGGAGGCTCCATTTGTGCTTGAACCGGTGAGCACCTTGAACGGAGGTAGGCATATGCAGTCAGAGATGCGGGTCGGAGAGGAGTGGCGCTTAGGAGTGGGGCAGTATATGGGAGGGCAGAGGTATATGGGAGAGGAAAGGCGTATGCAGTCAGAGATGAATATGGGAGAGGCACGGCACATGGGAGAGAAGCAAAAAATGAGCGTACTGGAGGAGCGAGTGCAGTGGAAGACAGAAGCGGGTATAAAATGGGAGGGGCAGCAGAATCAGGAGCAGGAGCAGCAGGAGAAGCAGGAGCAGCAGGAGCAGCTATACGGGCACCAGGAACAGAAGCAAATGAAACGGCAGATGCAGCGAGTTTGTACTATCCAGCAGCTGAGCGAGGTGGAGCAAGCAGGGAAGGTCCAACAGAGTGGTTCCACAGCTGCTGCTGCTGCTGCAGTGGATGGGGTGATCAGAGCAGAGGACCTGAAAGCGCTGGCTGACCTGCTAAATACTCTCATGGCAAATCAAGCTGCCACCGCTGCAGCTAGTGCTGGTAATTCTGCTGCTCCTAGTGCTGCTTCTCCTACTGATGCGGCTACTTCAGTTGCTGTTGGTAGCGCCCAGCCCTCAAGGACATTGGCTGCTGTTTTCCCTACAGGTGTGCGTCCAAAAGGTGTGGTTCCAACAGGCGTGATTCCATCAGGTGTGCTTCCCACAGATGCTGCTACTGCTTCTGCTACTCCAGGAGTTGATGGACCTCCCAGGATTGAATTTGGGAGGTTTGTGCAAGGAACAGGAGCAGGTTCCCGGCGGCTAGCACGTGCACACTCGGTTGGAGAACACACATATACAGCTGCAGTACCCTCTACAAGGGCAAAGCAGGGCAAAAGGCACAAGGGGCAGCAGAGGGTAGACTTAGGGCAGCAGGGGCAGGAGAGGGTAGAGTTTGGAAACCAGAGGCAGCAGTGGAATCAACCACAGTTGCAGTATCAGCAGCAGCAGCAGCCATACCAGCAGCAGCAGCAGTACCATCAGCACCACCAGCAGCACCAATACCAGATGCTTCAGCAGCTGCAGCAGCAGCCGCAGCAGCAACAGCAGCAGCAGCCTGCAGCCGGAGAAGCTGGAATTCGAGCGAAAGATGAATACGCGGGCGAGCCGAGCGCTGATTTCCTCCCTTGGCAGAGGAGTGCATCCTGCCCAGTCGTTCCTCTGTCGCACCAGGCCCCCAGTCCATCCTCCAACCAGCCTAGTCCTAATCCAGGCATCAACCAACCTAGTCCCACTCAATGGTATGACGATATACCCCTTCGTTCTTCGCCAGGCCTAGGACAGGGGGAACAGGGGAGTGAGGGATGGGGGGGTGGGCTCTCTGGTGGCAGCAGCAGCGGCAGCAGTAGGGATAGGTTGCACCATGCACATTCTCTGCTGCACACTACTGTGTGGGAGAAGGCTGGTGCGGGAGAGATGGGTGGGGGAAGAGGGGGAGGAGAGGAGAGGGTATGGGCAGGTGGAGGGAGGGCGGAAGAGGAGGAGAGGGGATGGGCGGATGGAGGGAAGGCAGAAGGGGAGGAGGATGGGGCAGTGGGGGATGGTGGGGATGAAGGGGATGGTGGGGATGGTGGGGATGGTGGGGATGGTGGGGATGGTGAGTTGGAGGCCATGATTCGCGGCATCAGCTGGCATGCCGGGGTAGAGAGGGTGGAGGAGGTAGAGCTGGTAGAGGAGGGCGGGGGGGTGAGACTGACAGGAGTGGAGAAGATGGAGGAGGGAACAAGGGTGGAGCACAGGGAAGCGCACCAGCAAGGAGTAGGAGTGGAAGCAACAGGGATGGAACCAGGAGGGGTGGCACCAGCAGGGGTGGCAACAGCAGGGGTGGGAACAGCAGGGGTGGCAGCAGCAGGGGTGGCAACAGCAGGGGTGGGAGCAGCAGGGGTGGCAACAGAAGGGGTGGGAGCAGCAGGGGTGGCAACAGCAGAGGTGGCAACAGTAGGGGTGGGAGCAGCAGGGGTGGCAGCAGCAGTGGGAGAGGCAGTGGGAGGAGGGGTACCCAGCGCAGCAGCGTTAGCGAGAGACATCGGAGTGGACTTGACAGCAATGGATCACGGAATGGGGTTTGCAGAGCTGGAGGCACTTCTTCTGGAGGTTGAGGGGGATTTGGCCAATAGCATGGCAGGCGCCAACATTCCCAATAACAGCATGCTTGGTGTGAGCACAGGGCCGGGGTTGGACACACTGATGCTGCCGGAGTCATTCTTCCCATCACCTGCAGTGGAATGCTCAACGGGAGGGACACAGACAGATGGAGCAGCAGCAACAGCAGTATCAACGGCGGCGACGGCTGCATTTGGCACGTATGTAGATGTAGTAGGGAAGCCACAAACGGAACTTCAAGGTATCAGCAGCACCAGCAGTAGCAGGGGGTTTGGCAGGTGGCTCTCCCCCAAGAGGAGTCATGATGAGGTGATGCTTTTTGAGGCGGCTGAAAAAGAATAGCTGTGATGAGGAAATGCTGAGTCATGATGATGGTCGCTACCCCTTCGTGGCTGGTGGATTTTCTCTGGTTTTTCAAATGACCCAGGTATCATATAAGAAGCTGCATCCTCAATGGGCCTTGAGTAATCGGCTTTCCAGTGTATATTGTTTCGAAGTATAATGAGGTTCGGCCTTGGCTTCAAGTCAGCACAAAATGAGGGCTTCAGAATCACGCAATGGCTTAAAATAACCTGAAATTCGACGAAAATAAGCTAAGATACGCGGTAAGGAAAATCTCTTTTCCTTATCGAGCCTCGCTAACATCGAGTGCAGCCCCGACTTTCAGAAGTCCAGGCTCGGCCCAACAATTCCGATTCGAACTACGTTCGTGACCCCAAGCCTGCACGCGGCGTCGGGTCTGACACTTTCGAACCCGAGGCACCCCGAACCACCTCGCGTGTCTTTCGTGGCCTTCCTCGAGGCTCTCTTCCTAGGCTAGCTGTGCTTGTATTTAGCCCTGTGCTTCATTTGTACTCGATACACTTTAATTGCGACCTCACTATTGCATTACTCGACTCCTATCCGGAGATTATCATAACAGCTGGTATCAGAGCTACATTCCTGTCCATTTAGGCTTCTGTAGTGAGGTAGTTTTTAGAGGGACCTCGCACGTTAGGAGACGAGCTGTCCAGCGGTCGTGCAGGAACTTCTTCAGTTCCGCCGACTTTAACGTGTGCGCTCCACGTCTCTAACACTGCAGGTGCCCATAGTGTCTTTAGTGGCGTTAGCTAGTTAGGGTAATTCATTGCCAATCGCCCTCCTCGCCGTAGTACTAGAAATATGACTCCCGAGCAAATAACTGAGTTGTTAGAGGCGGCAGCAAGCGCATCCGTACTGACGACAAAGGTTGGCGAAATAATGGCGAAGATGTAGGCCATGGCCTTCGAGCTTGCTGCGTTGAAAGACGAGAACGTGAGCCTTCACCGGATGCGTGGTGCGACGCGTCAGGAGACGCCTGTTACCGTGGACGAAGATTGTGCGAGCGCGCATCAACCGCAGGCGACGTCAGCAACACGTCACGACAGTTCGAGCGAGCGACGGCAGTTGTGAAGATAAAACCTGCCATGCCCCCGCCGTTCAACCCCCTGGAGAAACACACCACGCTGAGTGGGTGGCTGTTCGCCATGGAACTGTTCTTTAATACCTCCGACGTCAACGACGACGAGACACGCGTCAAGTTGGCGGTGTCTTTATTACGCGGACCTGCATTAAGTTGGTGGCGACAGTACGTGATATCACGAGGGAATCCGGCAGACCGGCAACAGGCGATGGACGGGAGCCTTGTTTGGACGTGACGTCATCTCCTACAGGATCCTTGTTTGGACGTGACGTCAACTCCTACAGGATCCTTGTTTGGTGCGGCCGAGATCCTCACCTGGCAACAGTGGGGTGCACTGCTTCGCCGACGCTTCGAGCATGTATCCGCATGCGAAAACGCTCGTGTGAAGCTGCACTGATGACGCCAACTATGTTCTATGCTGGAGTACACGTCATCTTTCCTCGCCATCTGTGACGAAATCAACGATTTACACGAGACACAGAAGACAAGTCGATACATCTTAGGGCTGAAACCGGAGGTCCAGCGCGAAATTTGCATGCGCCGCCCGGCGGCGTTCCTGGAGGTGCAGCATGAGGTGTGGGACGAGAACAGTGTATGGCCAAGGAAATTTTTCCAGGAGGGAAGTCGTTTTCGAGGGCAGAACAGTTACCCATCCATCAACGACGTAGCGGCACTGTCAGATAGCATATTTTCTGGCAGGTGTTATAAATGTGGTCAGCCGGGGCACATCATGCGGGACTGTCCGGAGTTGCAGAAATCGGGAGCTAACGACGGAAGGAAGCCGGGAAATGGACAACATCAGTAGCAGTCGGGCCCCCCAATGATAAAAATTTGTCGCCCGAAGATCACCATTCCCACCGAGTCGTAGTGCCGATCTATGCGATCAATCACACCCGGTTAAAGGGGAGTGAACCTGTTGACTGCCCTTTGCTGGTGGAAGGGCACGTTGGCAACACCGGATTAAAAATATTTGTGGACGGTGGAGCATTACACAGTCTGTTCGATGTGACAAGAGCGAAGAAACTTCAACTGCAAATGGAGAGGTGCATGCCCGAGATTGACGCGAGGTTGGTCGACGGCATGCCACTTGCAATCGGGGAGTGGGTAAAACACGATCGCATTGAGTGCGACAGCCAAGCCAGTTTCGCCTTGCAGATGCTGGCGACAACGTTGGACGGTTGCAATGTGCTCCTAGGGCGCGATTGGCTTCGCACGTACAATCCAAGCATCGATTGGAGGAAAGGCGACATTCGTTTGAATTGGGGTGGCGAGTGGCGACGACCGCCGAAGTGGAAACTACCTGACCCTTAGTCGACACTAGTGAACAACGTGGCTATCAAGCGTGTAATGGCACGTACTAATCGCCCAAGCTAATCCGCTGCTAACTGGACTGTTTACCCACGGAAACAATACGGACCCTCTTTTCACCTCTAATGGCCACCAGGCCCTGACCACTCAACGAGGCCACTACCACCTAAAAGCTGGTACTGACCGAATTTGGGTTCCATCCTACCGACTATTACAGGAATTACTGATACTGGAGGTCCATGACGCTACAGTGGCGGAAAAAATTGCCTGGACGTTTAACATTCCGTAACATGTCGCCATGCCAGACATGTTTCGAACATAGTAACACCAATTTTTCTCGGCCTGTTACAAGGTCGTAGTGTTGTGTTTCCACCGTACACAGGTTGGCGCGATTGTCACTTATCCAATAAGCGAGGATGAAATTCCTCATCAACAGTCAATCCGGACAGTTCATGCCGAGCGACAGTCTAGATCTAATTTCATTCGCCACTTAGAGTACACACACTTTCACGCAGCAGCCATTAGTATAGGAGTTAGGCCAGAAGCAAACCTACGAATGCAGCACGATGAAGCCGGTAGATGAGAAGAAGCGCGCGCGTATCTTAAGCATATTGCGCAAGGGGCAATCGACTAGGAAAATAGCCAAGGAGCTTAGCATAGGCAAAAGTACCGTGCACGATTACGGGCTGAAGGTGATTGCCGAGACTAGTCGCGATGAGGTGTGACCCAAGATGCCCACGGCTGGTCGTCCACACTTAATCACAACTCGCCTTCAGCGCGGAATTGTTCGAGCGATTACCAGCGGGGAGGCAAAAACTAGTGTAGACGCCACGAAAATGTTAGAGGAGAAGCATGATCTGGCTGTAAACTCGATGACCGTTAGGAACTCGTTACGATCCGCAGGGCAAGTCGCAGTGCAGCAGCCCAAGAAGCCCAGGCTCTCTACGAAAAACATCAGAGATCGGCTGGATTTCACGAGGTCACATGCCAACTGGACGATGGAAGACTGCAAGCGCGTGATATGGTCCGATGAGACGAAGATTAATAGTTTCTGCTCCGACAGACGTGCATACGCCAGGATTCGCGAGGGCAGCAGTCTCTGGAGCCACCAGATCCACCAGACAGTTAAGCATGGGGGCGGCTCTGTGATGGTGTGGGGCTGCATGACGTATGAGGGGGCCGGTTTCATGTGCAAGATTGATGGAAGGATGGATGGGCCGCTGTATCGCAGCATCTTGCAAGACGAACTCTCTTAGACCATCGAGTTCTACAAGCTCCCCCCCTCAGATGTCATATTCCAGCACGACAATGATCCCAAGCACAAGTCACGTCTGGTGCAAGACTGGCTTGGGGAGCAGGAGTATGCGGTGCTGGATTGACCCTCGTCCTCCTCGGGTCTTAACCGGATAGAACACCTGTGGGCCCACTTGAAAAGGGAGCTGGCAAAGTACGAAAAGCCTCCCACGAGAATTTTGGAGCTGTAGGAGAGGGTGCAGGAGGAATGGGACAAGATTCCGACGGAAGTGTGCTCAAACCACATCGACAGTATGCCAAGGAGGATCAAGGCGGTGATTCGCACAAAGGGATGCTGGACTAGGTACTAGTTTCGCTAGTTTCTAGTTTGTTGCCTGTCTTCGGTACAAATTGTCCGGATGTGCTCTTATCAAATGCTTTAGAGTTGAAGGACCATGTACTATACTATTCTGGTTTTATGAGTCTTGGTTGAGTACTCTAACTGCTCTTCTGAACATGTATGCCCACCATAGATTAAGGCTTAATGTTTACAGAGTACCAAATACAAAAACATGCTAGACATCCGGACGATTTTTTCCGTCACTGTAATTGCTCAGGGCATTTCGGGGTTCATAAAACCTTGAAAATGCTCCAACGTCATTATTACTGGTCGAATGCAAGCCACGACATGCAGCAATATGTGGCCTCATGTCCCACCTGCCAACTGATGAAATCCTCCCGCCAAAAGCCAGTTGGATAACTGCAATCGTTAGAACCACCCACCAAGTCCTGGACACACGTGTCCATGGACTTCATGACGGGACTGCCGGCCGACGCATCCCAAAATTATGCTGTACTCGTGGTCGTTGACCGACTCACGAAAATGGCTCTTTTCGCGCCATGCGGAACGACAATCACAGCCGAGCAAACTGCCAAGCTGTTCATCTCAACCGTCGTTCGCCTGCACGGAATCCCGAAGGCGAACATGAGCAATCATGACCCCCGATTCACGTCCAACTTCGGGAAAAAAATGTGGGAACAGTACGGTACACATCTTTATCTGTTCACGGCTTACCATCCACAGACCGACGGTCAGACTAAACGGACAAATCAGACCATGGAGCAGCTGATACAGACAACCTGTACCGACCCGATCCAATGGGAAAATTCCCTTCCCTTGATCGAGTTTGCGTATAACAATGCCCCTTCGTCAACGACCGCCCAATCACCGTTCTACATGAATTACGGTCTAAACCCCACGACTCCCACTACACCGTTTGTTGAGAGCCCTGTCCCACGGTCGCAACAGTTCGTGAAGGATTTACAGACTGTACAGAAAAGCGCTACCGAAGCCATTTCAAAGGCCAACCTTACGGCCAAACGGTACGCAGACAGGCATCGACAGGATTTACCCTTGTCTCTTGGGCAACTAGTCCTTCTAAATACCAAGAACTTGGGGTTGAGTTTACCATATATAAACTCCGCCTGAAATTTTGTGGGCCCTTCCGGATTGTCCGAATGGTGACACCTATCACCGCCAAGTTTCTCTTACCGGACAACTGACGTACAGAGGATTCATTCCACGTCAATCTCCTTCAACGGTTCGTTGCAAACACGGCTGATCTCGACCATCAACGACTCTATCCTTCGATCAGACCGGTCCATGAGCCAACCACCGAACCACAGCAAATCCTCTCCCACCGAATCCGCCGAGACCAAGGTCAACGGGTTTTGGAATTTCTGGTTCGATGGGTTGACCGTACGTGCGATGACGACATGTGGGTCCCAGATGCTACCCTCGACAACCACCCATTGGTGCTGGTCTATTTACATGATCGGGCTGCCCCAAATGTGGGTAGTCTCGTCTAGGAGAGGGGAAGGTGTACGGAAAATCTCTTTTCCTTATCGGGCCTCGCTAACGTCGAGTACAGCCCCGACTTTCGGAAGTCCAGGGTCGGCCCGACAATTCAGATTGGAACTACGTTCGAGACCCCAAGCGTGCACGTGGCGTCGCGTCCGACACTTTCGACTCCCGAGGCGCCCCGAACCATCTCGCGTGTGTTTCATGGCCTTCCTCGAGGCTCTCTTGCTAGGCTAGCTATGCTGGTATTTAGCCTTGTGCTTCGTTTGTACTCGAACACACTTTAATCACGACCTCACTATTGCATTGCTCGACTCCTATCCGGAGATTATCATAACATACGCGAACTTATTATAGGGCGCCCTCGACTACATCAACGGCGGCATATGCAAATATTTGCAAATACCATTATATCCATATAAACAACCCCCACATACGCAAAAAAAAAAAAAAAAAAAAAAAAAAAAAAAAAAAAAAACGACCAATGAAGCACAATCACAGCCACGATCATAGAAACAATTCTGAGTGGTCAACGACAGCGACGATCTTAGAGTGGCAGGGTCACGACCCAAAGAACACCATGCGCCACATGTCATCTTTTGCATGCAAAACGTGCTGAAATTCTGCAACACGGGCAGCTGTCGCGCCCAACCATAGCACGCCATCCGGCCTTCCCCCTTCGAGAATGTCATCTGGTCGGACAGGTGTGCGTGTTTAACAGCGCGAAATGTCGAACTCTGGGGCGTGCCCAATCATATCTGCGTGTAATTTGGCGCATCAAATTTGGTGTGGGTTTGCAACTCAGGCCTGTAAAGATGCGAAAAATGTACGACGAGGCAGCTTGGGCCGATGCCTTAGCATACTCCAGGGTCCCCATCCCTGAACAGTACACTCTGTGCCGAGATCCAATTCGTAAAAAGACGATAAGTGCACACTTTGCCCGTGCCCTACGCCCCCCCCCCCCCTCGACTTGAGCAAATCCCCATTATTCTCGGAGCTTGCCCTACTCGAGGGAGCCCTGTATTGTTTTTACAATATGATCAGATTGATGCAAGAATTGAGTTCCCGTTATTATTGAGCTCTCCGTTTGCACTTGAGAGAATGATGCTGTGTCACTACTCCTGATGCAGTGTGTATCGAGAAAGTGCGTCCATGGCACTTGGTTGTCGTTAGTGTGTTGCAAGTCAGTGGATGCTTTTGTACAGGGTGTGTGCACTGTGCAATCCCTTTCAGGAAGTTGCAGTTCTGTCCACTTGGCTGGCAGCCGGCGGCACCCCCCTGGGTGGAAGGCGCAAGGCGGTTTCAGTGAAGGCCGCGATTATGCCTGTTGGTGACGTCACTGGTCACCGATGGCAGCAGCTCCTTCGTTTTTGTCACAAATGCGCCGAAAATTCAAATCTTTTATCCAAAACAAGTCAAGCGGCAGCATATTCCATTACGTCACGGAATCGTCCCTGAACATACCTGTTAGCGGACGGAATCGCCGAAATATTACCCGTTTTCCCCCCCGTTAGCATTCGGATTCGTCGAAGAGCGAGCTACTCTTGGTTTGAAACATCCTTGAAGGCAAATGGCCTTGGCCAGGGCTAAGGAATAGCCGTCGAAACCCCAGGGACTGTTTCTCGCGGATACTACGCCTCAGGCAGATGGGAGAGTAGAAAAACTCCTGGCAACTAACCACGCGCTTTGCTTAGTGAAGGAAGTTGTGTAAGGTGTGATACACCACTACGAACAGATTTCCCACTGCAATTGCACTTCGTACGGTATCAAAGAAAAGTAGCCCGCAATGTCAATGAATCACACGAGAGGTGATCCTTTAGGCAGACAGAATATTGAAAAAAAGTTTTATTACGCACAAAAGGGGAATCATTAAGAATAATCACCCTGTTAGCCAGAACCCTGAGCGACAGTGTCATCCATTTGTCTGCAGGTCTGCAGGTCCCTGTCGTTTCACTGTTTCCCGGACAGTGGGCGGCTGATGAGCTGGGCGAGGAGACTGATGCTCAAATGCTGCTCGTGCTGCTGACCCTGTAATTTCGTCGTCATCGAAGGTAATCGCCGTGGCTGCTAACGTCCACTGTAACGCCTCGGCTCGGCTTCATGCGAGACTGAAGGAGTGCCCTACCTTCCCCCCTACCCCCAAACCCCCCCCCCCCCCCCCACAGTCTGTCGCCTCATCCTTCCCCCTTTCCCCCAGATTCGCCATAATGTACTCCGCCCTCAGCTCTTCGAGCCCAGCGAGCTATCGCCACGCCACACGTGAAAAACGCCAGTGTCGTCTTCCGCCTTCCGAACTCCCCCAACCAACATCCCTCTCAGCAGCAACACCCAAACCAAAGTTCCGCAGTCCCCGCATCCCCCACACCCATCCCCCACACACCCCCCCCGCCCCCTCTCCCTGGCCCTCCTCCCCAACCCCCACAGCTGGTTCTCTGTCTCCGAAACACGATCATTTATGGTATCCTGGGCAGTGGGCACCCGTATGAAACGCCAGTCAATAATATTCCCTACCTCCAAAGTCCAAGATGCCCCTACTATCTGTCTATTTTTTCCGCAAAAATTCTTTCTTAACACCTTCAAATCTTGACCCATATCTCCATGAAGTTTTTCCACTTGACAGGGTAGCCAACCATATATAAAGAAGCAAGCCCCGCCTCATCCCACCTCGGTCTACCGTCCCTAGCAAGCCGCACGAAGGTCACCCTTTCCCATCCCTCCCTTTCCGTGCGTGCTTGCCCTCTCCCCCACTGGCTGGCCCCTCCCCTCAACCTCCATCACCTCTTCCTCCTTTCCTTCCCTCTCCTTCCCTTTCCTTCCCATCGCCTTCCTTTCGTTCCCTGCGTCTTACGCTATCCCCGTCCTGCCGCCACCTGTGGGGGGGCCTTGGCACAGTGAACACTGTTTACTGACGCACGAACGAACACAGCAGCGGAGCAGAGCCAAGAATTCAAGAATCGCCAGCACCAACTGCGTGGTCTGCGTTCCCTAGGCTCTCCAGTTTCACCGGCCGCGGATAAAGAGTGTCACTTTTCCTTCCAACGCAGCAAAGTGCAAGTCAGAGCAGAAATCATCCAATATTCAAAGCGCCGCGACTTACACAGCTCCAAAGGGATTTCCTGTGGGCCCCACTTTGAGTATTGTTCGTCTAGTAGGTGCTAGCGCCGTCCGCTCACCTACTGCCATCGTTGCTTGCTTGAACCACACGCAACGAAAGTCAGCGGAAAGTCAAAGGAGAGTCCTGCCGCGGCGTGCCAACTTGCCATCCGGCGCGGCATAAGTAGCGGCAACGAAGTGCAATTTCACTGCGGAACGGTTTTCCATCCACGTCTTGGCAAGGCGTAATCGAAAACAAAGGTAATCGTTAACGCTTGTACGCACTGCTTGGAAAGGGAGACCCAAAGTCGTCACCGCTGGAAGAAGCAGCAGCAAGGCCGCCGATTGCGGCGCCGCCATTTGCGCCTACCGCTGGCGCTAAAACTGCCACTCTGGCGACTCTAGCCCTGCAAATGGTGCCCGACGGAATTGCGATGTTTCCACCCGACTGGGCGCAGCAGCCGCCGCAACTCCCGGCGCAATTTACGCCGGAAAATCCGCCGCCATTGCCGTTCGCCTTCACCGCCTCTGTCGTCGCATCCCTTCCCGACGCTGGCGAGACGTCGTCTCCTGTCGCTGCACCTTCAATTGCGACTGAGACGACGCCTGCGACAATCCCTGCGACAATTCCACCGGCGACGGCTCCTGCGACAGCGGCGATGGAGGACGAGGACGACGACGAAAGCATGTTACCTCCCGGGTTTCGCTTCCACCCGACGGACGAAGAACTCCTCTGTTACTACCTTCGGCGACGCGTCGACAATCGTCGCATAAGCTTCAACGTCATGGGCGACATCGACCTCTACAAATTCGAGCCTTGGGATCTCCCCTCGCGCGCCTCGAGCCCACTAATGGGAAACGACGAGTGGTTCTTTTTCACGCCGCGCGACCGGAAATACCCGTCGGGGCTGCGGTCGAATCGCGCGACGCCCGCGGGATATTGGAAAGCGACCGGGAAGGACCGGCCCGTGTTCGCCGCCGGGAACCGCGGAGGAGGAGGGCCGAGTGGTGGAGGAGCAGGGGGGACAACGGTTATTGGCTTCAAAAAGACCCTCGTTTTTTACCGGTAAGCTAAACTGCTGCACACAATGTTTTGTTTTTATCTGTAGTCAATTGTGTGCGGACTTCAAAGCCCGATTTTGGAGTTTCGTTTTTCATCTTTTGTAGTCGGGCTTTAATCAGCCAGCCTTGTCAAATTGTTGTGATAGGTGCGTCATTTACATTTTTTTTTCCAAATTCTATACTGGTGTCTAGGGTTTAGAGTGAGGACAGACACTCTCCATACCGGTCGTCGCAATGGTAGCGGAATGTGACTGGTAGCTTTTTCGGCTCGACTAACACTCGCGACACGCTATTTTCGCGAAATTCGTGACACTCGTGACTCTAGCGACAGCAGGGCTTACACCTGTTGCGAACTTCAAGAGCTCGCCCTCATTGCGTCACTTCCTCCCTTCCCCTATCTCCCCCGATGTTCCGCCTTCCCCTCCCCCCGTTCCCCCGATGTTTTCCCGCACAGCGGTCGCGCGCCGGCTGGCGAGAAGACGGACTGGGTGATGCAGGAGTACCGTCTACCCGACAGCTCCGACGACATTGCCAGCCTCATGCTGCCGGCCGGCAGCTCTGCCGGCAGCGCTGACGTCACCATCGCCGCGCCGCCGTCCGCGTCCGCGGCCGGCTGGCAGAGCGCCTGCGGGCCGGCGGGAATGACCCTGTCGCAGTGGGTGGTCGTGCGCGTGTACACGCGCGGGGCGCTTCCGCAGCAGTCACAGCCCGGGCAGGGCGCGCGCTCAGGGCAGGGCCGCGGAGGAGTGGCGGCGCAAGGGGGCCTGGGCCAGGCGCTCGCGCAGGCGCAGGCGGCAAAAGCGGAACCCGCGACAGCGGAGGGATTGGAGCTAGCGGAGGGGTTTCAGCTGCAGCGGATGGAGTTAGACACCAGCGGAAGCGGAAACGGAGGTGCGCAAATGGCGGCGGGCTCCGTTCCGCAATCCCCGCTCGTGTCCCCGCGACTGGTTCCGCCACAGGCTCACGTTCCGCTCAGTCCGCGACCCGCGAGCGCCTGCGCGACTGGCGCCGCTGCTGGCGGAAGCGGAGTGTTTCAATTCGGTCTGGCCCCTTCGTCTTCCGCCGTTGCTACTTCCCCGCGTGGTGCCTCCGCTGGTGCTTCCACCGCTGCAAGTGTTTCCGCCGCCACTTCCGCTGGCGATATTGCCCCCGCGGTCGGCGGGAGTGGCCCCGCGCGCGGGTCAGCTCTCAACAGTCTTCGGAAACTTTTTTCTGCCCGGTCCTCGCAATCCGCGCCCCTGCCCGTGCTGCAGAGTGCAGCGGCGCAGGCTTTGAGGAAGGGGCCTCGCGCAATTGATCGCGCAGTTACTGTAGCAATCGGAGAACCGTCTAACCAATCAGAAAGCCCCGCTGCTGGTGTGGGTTTCGCGAATCTGACAATTTCGCGACCAACAAACGTGGGTTTCGTTAACCCAGGTTCTACTGAGGCCAATCAGGTTGGAATTGGAGGCTCGGAGGTGGCAGGTTCGGGAGCTGGTTTTGCGAAACCTTTGAGTTCGAGCCAGTGGCTTGGCGCCATGTCTAGCCTGAAGCGGTTCAACTCGCCGGCAATCCCTAGAGGCAACTCGTGCCCTTCTGCCATCGCTGCAGGCCTGGGTTCGACTCCTGATGAGCACATTTCAAGGCTGGCGAGAGCTCAAAGCTTGGCACAGCCCACTGTCGTGGAAGAGGCAGACGAAGGGGATGCAGAGACCAAGAAACTGGGTGAGGGGTTTCAGAATCAGGCTGGGGAACAGCAGGAAAGTGGGGGCGAAACAGGAGGAGCGGGAGTAGGACGAAAGGAGGCAGGAGAAAAGGAAGCGTCTGAGACCTTTTCCAAACTTCTTGCTGAGTACGTTGCAGGGCAGAGAGACAACGACAGTTCTGGTAATGTTCTGATTGACCCGCCAGTCAATCGGGACACGACAAGTGTGCTCCCGCCAAGTCAGGAGCAGGAGAAGCCGTGTGAGGATATTGACAGTCGCAGGGTGGACACACCAATGAACGAAATGGTTGGCCAGACTCTCGAGACTCAGCCACAGCAGCAGCGGCGGCCACAGCAGAGACAGCAGCAGCAGCAGCAGCAGCAGCAGCAGCAGCAGCAGCAGCAGCAGCAGCAGCAGCAGCAGATGCCCTCACGGCGCCTGCAACGGTCAAATGCTGCCATAATCGAGCCATTAGAGGATTTGCTCTCGGCTCAAGAAACCTCACAGCAGGGTCTGCAGCAGCAGCAGCAGGGCCAGCAGCAGCAGGGCCAGAGCTCAAGTTTCCCTGCCTTGCTATCCAGCTCGCCCCCTCACCTTGCCACCATCAGTAACACCACAGGCAACTTCACCAGCACCAGGACTGGCCCTATCTCCACTGGCCCTATCTCCACTGGCCCTATCACCCCACCATCAGTTATTCCCTTGCCTGATGCTTTCCTTACCACCCCTGTCTCCCTTGCCACCCCTGCCACTCCTGGTATGGCTAGGGAACTTTTAGGCCTGGAAACCCTTATGACCCCTATGGACCTCTCTGGTACAGGCTGGTGGGCAGCAGATGCTGCTGCTGCTCGTCTTCCTCCTGCTGCTGCTGTGGCTGCTGCTGCTCCTGGCGCTGCTGCTGCTACTGCAGGTGCTGCTGCTCCTGGCGCTGCTGCTGCTGGTTCTGCTGCAGGGGCTAGTGTTGGAATTGCTCAACTTGGGGGTTTCAGTGGATTTGCTGTGTTCGGCAATGGCAGCGGGCACCTGTCTTTTTTCGACAGCCCGTTCCGGCTGCTCACTCCTGCTCCAGCAGGGCCTGACGGTGGGGCTGCCAGCCCCTGGACTGCTGCCGTCGTTGCTGCAGCTGCTGCTGGTGCTGCCTCTGGTTCTGTCTCTGGTGCTCCGGCAACTTCTGTTGCTCGTGCTGCTCCTGGTGCTCCTGGTGCTCATGGTGCTCCTTGTGCTGCTGGTGCTGCTGGTGCTCCTGGAACCAACCCAGTGGGCAGGTACAGGGAGAGTGATCAGGCACCGCAGGGCAGTGCCAGCGACAGTGAGCCTAGCTCCCCATGTACAGTCAACACCCAAACCACTTACAACACCCAAACCACTTACAACACCCAATCCACTTACAACACTCACACCTCTCACACCATGCTCCTTGCCAACGATCAAGAGCTAGCGGGGGAAGTTGCTGGGCCTGCTGCTGCAGCTGCAGACAAAGCGGGTTCTTCTGAAGGAGGCTACAGAGGATGGAATAGGGCTGCCTCTGAAGTACCAGCAGCAGCAGCAGAGGCTGTGCTTCCTGCCACCACTGACCCTACTACTGCTGAATCTGACCGTTTCTCCATGCTCTCATCGCCGCCTCTCCCCCCTGAGATGATGAACGAGCTTACGGAGCTGCTGCTACGTTCGGCTGTCGCCCAGCCTAGGGTCTCAGGCTTGGGCCCATCAGGCTCGGCACCATCAGGCTCGGCACAAGCCGCTGCTGCTGCAGTGGGCACTGTTGGTGGGAGAGATCGCCGAGGGGAGGATGGCATGGGCACAGAGGCTGCCCAGGAGCTTAGAAAGGCTCAGTTCCAGCAGCCAGAATGGGGTGCTCATCTGCAGCAACAGGTGCAGCAGCAGCAGGAGAAGGAGCAGGAGGGCGGGAAGGAGAAGAATGAGAGTCGAGGGGGGAGACAGGTTCGGTCTCCGAAGCGGAGTAGAGGGGAGAGGGAGTTTGAGGGACTAATGATGGAGGAAAACGGGGAGGGGGCACGGAGGGAGGGAAGCCACATGGCCATGGAGGGTGATGTGGATCGGCCCTTGTCCAAGCGAAGGAGCTTTGCTGCGGAGGAGATAGAGGTCAGTTCGGATGAGTTGGGTGTGGTGGAGCAAGGAGTGGGAGAGGAGGGGGTGGTGGATGAGAGAGCGCGGCCTGATATTCTCAACATGTTGAAGCACATACTGGGATGACTGCGCTTGTTTTCCGTTTCACTTATCAGTTTTTTGCACCAGAGGTGCTTGTTCCGTTTTGTGGATATCCTCGATGTCTTCAACTTTTTTATTATGCTCGTAATTTCGGTTGTATCCCTTTTTTCTTTAACCATTATACTAGTGACGGCTTATTGCACCCTGCAATTGTGTTCTTGTACTGCGAGGTTCGGAATCACCGAACCTGAACAGCTCATTTCGCGTACTTCTCCATTCGAGATTCGAGGCCCCGTTTTTGGCGCGTCGCTGGCATGTCGAGGGGTTGATGGCACCCATCCCCTCCCATTGGCTCTTTGCGTTCGCCGTAGCCTCGGCCCCCAAGCATCCAGTCCAAACACTTGGAAAAGTGTCACTTTTATAAAACGCACAGCTTCATACATGGGCACTCCGTCCGCCTGACCTTCAGGTGGCGGTCTTACGCATGTGAAACATGATACGAACCGAACACGCCCGCGTTTGTGAGTAGAGCTACACCCGCGTCGCGCTCACCACCACCCGCCTTTTCCCCCGGAGTCCATCCTCTCCTCTCTCTCACGCACACCTACGGGTTTGAATTGTTTAGCTTCACCACACCACACGGCTTCCGTACACCTACCACAATCCACATTCCCTTACCGTGATTACCGCTTCCCGTCTAGTCCTCCCATCGTGCTGCACTATCTCAGTCGTTTGATTGTTACACCAGTCATCGCAGTCGCTTGTCGTACCATCACCCGCTAGCAGAGCATCGTATCCCGTTAGCAATTCTCTAGCTCGCCCCATTTTTTTTCCCCCTCTTTCTTGTTTTCCACACCGGCTTCTCTTGGGCCAGTTTTTTTGGCTGCGAAAATTTGTTGTGACCATGTCAGACGAACGGCGAGACTCTCTGGCGGCAGCATCAGGATCCACGCCAAGACTACTAGCTCACGCCGCCGGTTCCGGAGAAACAGCCTCGTTATTGTCTTCTCCGATATTAGCTGAGCCGGGACTCCAGTCAGCAAGATCAGCGGGCGACCTTACGACGGGAGCTCCGGATGTAAGGAGTAGCGCTGGTGCCGCTGCACCCGCTGTTGGGTCGAGAATCGAGTGCGCTGTGCCGCCTATTACTTGTGACGCTGCTTCTAGTAGTAGTATGGACACTGTTACTATGGGCATTCGTAGGTCTGACTCAGCATCGTGCGAGCCAGAGGCTCGGCAAAGCGAGCAAGAGAGCGAGCTTTCGCGGGATTCCCGAGCCTCCCGGTTCGGCGAGGACAGGTCCGGAGAATCCACGCTCGAAGAGGCCCTGCTGGAGGAGGGTAGGCTCGGGCACAGCTACAGTTCCGACCGGCTTTTAGCTGACGGCCGGCTCTTAGTTGAGTGCCGGTTTTGCCGGGAAGAAGAATACTTAGACCCGTTGGAACTTGGGCTCGTAACGGCCAGTGGCGGCAGCACTGGCAGCACCCGCAGTGGCAGCGGCGGCGGAGGAGGGGACGGGGGGGGAGGGGCAGGGGGCGGAGAAGGGGGCGGAGAAGGGGGCGGAGCGGATACAAGGGGGGGGGTGGGAGCGCGCGGGGAGGGGGAGGCGGGCGCAAAGGCGCGGGAGAAGGCGCGGGGGGCGCGGATGGTGAAGCCGTGTTCGTGCGGGGGCACGATGGGGCGTGTGCACCTGCGGTGCCTGCAGCAGTGGATCGAGCGGCGGCGGATGGACGGCTGCGATCACGACGCGCTGACGTGCGAAGTGTGCCGCGCGCCGTACCACCTCAGGATCCACGAGAGTGAGTCCGCCTGTACCATCTCCGTCCCCACTCATGCCCTCTCTCCGCCCTCCCCCCACTCTCTCCCCGACCTCCCCCCGCCCTCCCCCCGCTCTCTCCCCACCCTCCCCCCGCCCTCTCCCGCCCTCTCCCCTCCCTTGCCACAACGCGCTGACGTGTGAAGTGTGCCGCGCGCCGTACCGCCTCACAACACACGAGGGTGAGTCCGATCTGAACCTTAAACCCGCTGTCCTTCCAGGATTCGTGAGAGTGAATCTGTGCCGCCCCCTGTCATTTCGCTAACTTCTTCTCTGCATTGGAATAATAACCAGCAACCTGGACTCGTATTCTTTCTGCCTCCAACGCCACATTCCTAGGTGATTCCTAGGCTCCATGCTCGCCTGCCCTTCTCCCCCCCTCTCTCCCCCCCCCCCCCCCACCACCACCATCTTTTTCCTTTTCAGGATGAAACATCACCTGGGAGCGTCTGTGCTCGTACGCATCCATTTCCTTCTATGCCGACCTCTGTCTGCACCATCGGCTTCCCATGCTTTCCCCCCCCACACAACCCCCCCCACACCCCCCCCCCCCCCTCTCCCCCCCGCCCTTCCCTCTCCCCTTCACCCTGCCCCCATCCCCCCCCCTCTTGTTCCCCCACCCGCCAGGACTGGACCTCACCTGGGAGCGCCTGTGCTCGTACGCGTCCATCTCGTTCTACGCTGAGTCCTGCACCATCCTTTTCACCCCTCCCCCCTTTCCATTTCCCCGTTCTCCCCGTCCCTCATGCCCCCATGCCCCCATGCCCCCATGCCCCCATGTCCCCATGCCCCCATGCCCCCATGTCCCCATGCCCCCATGCCCCCATGTCCCCATGCCCCCATGCCCCCATGTCCCCATGCCCCCTCGTTTATCCCCGCCAGGGCTGGACCTGACGTGGGAGCGCTTGTGCTGGTACGCGTCCATATCCTTGTACGCCGAGCTCTGCACCATCCTACCTCCCCTCTCATGCCCTCTCCCCTCCCCTCTCCTCCCCCGCAATCCCCCATTCCTCCATGTCTATCCCCCACCATCAGGACTGGACCTCACCTGGGAGCGCCTGTGCTCGTACGCGTTCATCTCCTTGCATGCTGCCGGATTTCCTCCTGGGATCACTAAAACCCCCCCAAAAAAAAAAAAACAAACAAACTCCTTGCATGCTGAGATCTGCACCATTCCCCTCCCCAATCATGCCCTTCCCATCCCCTCCCCTCCGCCCCCAATCCCCAATTCCTCCCGTACCTCCACCTACCCGCCAGGACTGGACCTGACATGGGAGCGCCTGTGCTCGTACGCATCCATCTCCTTCTACGCCGAGTTCTGCACCATCTGCGCCACACTCGCCTCCATGGTCTTCCTCTTCTTCCTCATCGTCGTGGGCGACACTGACGCGGTGAGCAGTGGTACAGTACGGTATGGGTTATGTGTGACTTGTGCGCCTTCCTCTCCTTGTGCCTCTATGGTCTTCCTCTTCTTCCTCATCGTCGTGGGCAACACTGACATGGTGAGTGTGGGCTGCTGTCTGAGTGTCTAATGCATGGGACGTTGCGTGGTATGGTACTCATTGAGTGACACTACACCACCTCTGCACCATCTGCACCATCTGCACCATCTGCGCCACCCTGGCCTCCATGGTCTTCCGCTTCTTCCTCATCCCTTGGGCAACGCTGATGCGGTGAGTGTGGACTGGTGTATGGGCGACGCTGACGGAGTATTTGTGGACAGGTTGCGTGCATGGGATGGCACGGTCCTGTCCGTACCAGTTGATTTTTGAGTCGACTCAAAAGGTGATTTCTAGGTGATTTTTTTGTCGACTCAAAAATCACCAACAGCATTTGCGATACTGCGCACCATCTGCACTACTCATTGTATGGAGCTACTTACAATGCCATTTGAGGTTTTTTTTATAAATAGTCGACTCAAAAGTCACCTAGTTACAGTGTCAAGCTAAACGTTTTTGCATGCTTGTGCCCACCCGCTGTATGTGTGCAGGAGGGTAGAGAGCTGAGTCTATTTGCGGCAGTGGTGGTAGCTGCATCTGTCATCACCCTCGGCATCCTCACTCTCTTCAAGGTAAGTTTTTGCTCCTCAGAATAATATTTCTAGAAATCAGCATGTGTGATCACCTTCGGCATCCTCACTCTCGTCAAGGCAACCAACTCTGAATCACATGCTTTGTTGTTCTCAAGCGATTGAACACACACACCCCCCCCCCCAACCCCCCACCCACCCATTCCTACCCTCTCCTCCCACCTTATCCACCCTTCCCAAGTCACCTTCTGGTGGCGCCAAGCCATTTCAGAGCCGTTTCTCTCTCCCATCTCGCTGCGTTGTAACGAGGTGACTTTTGAGTATACTCAAAAGTCACTTCCCAAGGCACATTCTGGTGGCGCCAAGCCATTTCAGTGCCACTCCTCTCTCGCATCTCACTCCATTATCGTCATTCACTTTTCAAGGCCCTACACAGTCCGTCACACCTCCCCCCCTCCCGTTCCTACCCTCCCCCCCCACGATATCCCCACCTCCCATGTCACTTCTCGGTGGCGCCAAGCGTTTTTAGTGTTGCTGCTCTCTTCCAGTGTTCTTTTTTTAGGCACCTCAAAACTAGACTCCTCTCGGCATTACCCGTCTTCACCTCCCTTCTCCCCATCCTACCCTCTCTCCACCCCACTGTATCCACCTCTTCCCAGGTCACTTCCCGCTGGCGTCAAGCCATATCAGTGCCGCTCCTCTCTCCCCGCAGCCCGCTCTCCCCTCCCATGCCCTCCTCGCCTCGCATCTCCTCGTAATCATGCGTCCTTTGGGCCGACTCACAGGTCACCTCACGGTTGCGCCAAGCCATCTCACTGCTGCTCCCAAAGGGGCTACCTCCCCGAGGGCCTATCTCCCCTCCCTCCCCTCCCCTCGCCTTGTCCTCGCTCATCCACGTTAGTCCCTGCTGCCCATTGCCCCATGCCCTGTGCTTGTGTCCAATAGAACACCAGATAGGTGCCATTGTGTCAATACGTGGCAGCAACTAGAGGATGACACCTGCTGCCCATTGCCCCTTGCCCTGTGCTTGTGTGAGGCACAACAGAATATGCCACTGTAGCTAGAGTTGTGCACATTTTAGAATGTCCTTGACAGTTGTACAATTGTACAGATGTAATGACCCAGTTTAGCTCTATTGTACACATTTCAGAACCCTCCATTTCAGCACTAGTCTTGTTCACATGCTGAAGCCCCATTTTAGCTCAAGTGTTTGCATCCACACATCATGATGCCACATCTCACCTCTGGTGTTGTACACACTATAAAATGGCCCTCTTTAGCTCTAGAGTTTGTACACATTATAAAATGCCCTTCTAACTCTAGAGTTTGTACACATTACAAAATGCCCCTCTAGCTCTAGAGTTTGTACACATTATAAAATACCCCTCTAGCTCTAGAGTTTGTACACATTATAAAATGCCCCACTTCAGCTCTAATGTTGTACAGAGGCGGGATAAGCACGTGGCTGCACTCAGTGGATACTCGGAGACTGCATGGGGTCAAGGGGAGGCAGGAAGAGGAGAAGGGGGAAATGGGGGAGGATTAGGTTAGAGGGGAATGGGGGAAAGAGACACACACTGCATGGAGACTGTATGGAGTGTGTGGGGTGGAAGAGGACAAAGGGGGGAAAGGAAGGGAAAGCAGCAGGGCTGATTGGGTAAGGGGCGAAGGGCTGATGTCAGTGCTAGCGATCACTAGCTCCCTGATCCCTCCATCCTCGATATTAGATTCCAACACTGCACATGCCTCCCACACATAAAAGTTTTTTTTACCCACCCTTCCCCCCCCCCCTTCATCCGCCCGCCGTCAGCTGGTCATCCTTCATCACCAGCAATCATTTCATCCCCATGGTCACTGCTCATGTCACCACAAGCGGTCCCTAGCTCCCTGATCCCTCCTTTCCCCCCTCCTTTCACCCCCCCCCCCCCCCTTCCCCCCCTCCTTTCCCTCCCTCCTTGAGATTGGATTCTATCACTGCATATGGGCCCCACACGTTAGATCTTTCTTGCCCCACAACCCCCCCCACCCCCCCCTTCATCCGCCAACGGTCAGCTCACCAGCAATCAGTTCACCCCCACAGTCACTGCTGATGACACTGCAAGCCATCGCTGCCCCCCTTCCCCTTCCCCTCCCCCTCCTCCTCAGCTCACGAGCAATCATTTCATCCCTACCCCCCACTTCCTCTTCCCCCCTCATAAGACTTCACCCCACCCACACCCCCCCCCCCCCCCCCTTTCACTCCCTACTCAGCTCACCAGCGATCATCTCATCCACGTAGTCACTGGTGATGTCACCACTGGCCATGGCCCCCACCTGACAGAGAGAGGAGAGAAGTGGGGGAGTGAGTGAGGTTGGCAGGGGTCGGTGGGGAGATCAGTTGCACCTCAGACTACCCATAGTCACTGCTGATGTCACCACTGGCCATGGCCCCCACCTGTTCTAAATAGGTGCAAGAGGAGCAAGGAAAAGGAGGGTGGGGTGACTGAGACAGAGGGAAGGAGGGGGGAAGGGGGGAGGTGGTTATTTCATAAAATGTTCATTTGTAAAAGCTCCTACACAAAGCGAGCGAATGATACTTTTGCTGCGACAAGTAATTCAGATTCACTCACCACAAACACAAGTGTTTCCAACTTGGTTGTCTTCAAGAACTGCCGCAAGTGAACCACCTTCTGTGCACTGTACTCCAAGCCTGAAGGGGACGAGGGGACGAGGGGAAGAGGAGAGGGGCGAGGAGGGTATTGAGAGGAGAGGCGCTTTGAGGCTTTACAAGAACTGCCGCAAGTGAACCACCTTCTGCGCACTGTACTCCAGGCCTGAAGTAAGGAGAGGAGAAGAGAGGAGAGGGGAGGAAGGGAGAGGAGAGGAGCTTATAATGCCCATGACCACATGCCCTTGGACGTGACAGTGAAGTGCATAGAAGCAGTGCGTGCAGACAGAGCAATGATGCTCACCTATTCGTCTGCACCCTGGGGGCAGGTACTTGGTCACAGGGTGCTTGATGACCTTCAGGAGCTTATCAGGCCCGTTTGTAGCGCGGATGGACAGCTTCTGAAGTAGTTGAACTGCAAGGGAAGGAAGGGGTGGCGGGGGGGAAGGGGGGAGAAAACAGAGAAGGAGGGGGGCGGGGAGGAGACGGAAAGCTTATCGAGGACATTTGTAGCGCAGATTCTGCAGTAATTATACTGCAGACAGCGGGACGGGAACGACGGCATTGAACAACAGGATGAGTGGGTATTGAACGACGGGATGAGAGCGCATTGATCGACAGCATGAGCGAGTAGCCTAAGAAAGGATGGGGGGGAGGAGAGGAGGAAAGGGAATCTGAACCCCTGGACAGCTCATGGCTCATGAGCCTAGAACTTCTCGACCTGAGAATACTAGCTAGAGCCTAGCTAGAGCTTTCTCAAGTTGCCATTATCAGACTGGAAACCCAAAACCTTCTTTCAAGAGGCCGTGCTCAAGCAAAACTGTCAACCCCCAGCCAGAATTCTCAACCTGCCAAAATCAGACTGGAAAGGAAACCCCCGTACTCACAACCCACATACTCGAGAGGCCGTGCTCAAGCAAAACCGTTAAACCCCCAAAACCCTCTTTCACCCATGCGCCCGCACCCGTAAACCCTATTACTCCACCCAGCCATGAGGATGCAGGAGCACCGGACGGAAGGTGCGGGGAATGTGGATGTGCGGGTTGGGACTTCAGGTATAAAAGCTGGGGTTTGACTCTTTAAAACCCAAGCCATATACCCTTATATTCCACCCACCCATGAGCCCGCAGAAGCGCCGGAAGGTGCAGGGGATGCGGATGTGCGGGTTGACTTAACGCACTATATCTAGACTTAAAACCTTAAACCCTAAATCTTTGCCACCCCCATCCACCCCCCGCCCCCCTATCCCCCCTCACCCCCCACCCATGAGCCCGCAGAAGCGTCGGAAGGTGCAGGAGATGCGGATGTGCGGGTTGACTTAACGCACAATACCTAGACTTACAACCCTAAACCTTTGACACCCCCATCCCCCCCCCCGCCCCCCTCCCCCCCTCACCCACCCATGAGCCCGCAGAAGCGTCGGAAGGTGCGGGGGATGCGGATGTGGGGGTTGACTTGAATGAGCGTGTTGCGGTTGGTGGCCACGTATAGGGCTTTGAGGCGTCCTGCCTTATTCACTGGGCTGTCCAGGATTGCTAGGAGCGCCTGCAGCAGGGGGGAGAGGAGAGGAGGGGGGGGGGGAGAGGAGAGTATATAGGGAACTTGAATGAGCGTGTTGTGTGTGGCGGCCACATAGAGGGCTTTAAGCCGCCCTGCTTTATCCACTGGGCTGTCCAGGATTGCTAGGAGTGCCTGCACCCAGACATGCATGCATGCATGTATGTATGTATGGGGGGGGGAAGGAAAGGGAAGAAGGGAGGGAGGGAGGGGGAGAAGGAAAGGAGGGATGTAGGTAGGGGACTTGGATAAAGTGTTGCGTGTGGTGGCCACATAGAGGGCTTTAAGCCGTCCTGCTGTAATCACTGGGCTGTCCAGAATTGCTGGCAGTGCCTGAAGACAGATAAGTCTGGAGGTTTCGGGTTTAAGCGGGAAAAAGGGGGGCAGGGGGCAGGAGGTAGGGGTGCCTATGGGGAGGCTTGAGGTTGCAGGCTTGAAAGTTCGTAAATCAAGTTGTTAAATTGGAAATTTAGGGTTTTAAGGTGTCGTATACGTTCAGCAGCCACAGCTACGAGACTTAGGGGCAGGGGCATCTCTTTAATTTTTACCACTAGCACTTAACTCGTCGAAATCATCGCTCACCTGGTGGCAGATGTCCGGGCGGTAAAGCGCAGGGTCCTTGCCATGCTTTGAAACGTTCCGTAACTCAATTAGAAGCACAGCATTCCTTGTTACATGGTTACCCTACATGTAGCCCCACCTGGTGGCAGATGTCCGGGCGGAAGAGCGCGGGATCCTTGCCGTGCTTGCGAAGAAAGTTGGCGTGGTCGTCGCAGTTGAGCAGCACGTACGTCTGGGGAGGGGGGGGAGGAGGGGGGGAGGGTGGGGGAGGGAGGGTTTTGAGGCGCCTCAGAGCCCGACCGTAAGCTCCTTGCCGTGCTTGGGGGGGGAGGGGGGGGAGAAGGGAGGGAGGGGGGGGGGAGAAATGGGTAGGAACAGGAAGAAAGACGGGTAAGAGGTGGATGAGGACGCGAGAAGAGGGTTTCGCCGTTATGCAGCGGGGCGGACGGCTGGGGAAACAGATCTTTCGGCTTTCCATAAGCACTACGTATGTGCGAGAGAGGTGGACGAGGTTGCGCGGAAAAGGTTTCGCCTTTATGCAGCGGGGCGGACGGCTGGGGAAACAGATATGTCGGGTTCCAATAAGCCGGACGGCATTGCGAGAGCGGACGAGAGCAGATGAGAGCGGATGAGAGCCGTAGGAGCGGATATGACCGTCCCAACTTTGGCGCGCCTTATAACGAGGCGTTCTCTTGAACAACTGTTTAAGAAGCGACTGCTACATACAATTCTACTGGTAGCTCAGGACGGACGAAGGTGATTAGGGCGGACTTGTTTTGAGTCGTCTCGCGACGTTTTCACAATAACGAGTATGGAAAGGTAGTATACGCACGTGACGGGCCCTCAAGGGCACGACGGACCTTTCCGACTTTGGCGACTTCTAGCGACGCTTTCTCAAGGACGAAGATAACACCCGCTTCCTCTGTTCCTGTCGCCGTTCCTCCCGCCGCTCCTTCCGCTGCTGGCTCTGCAGCCATCGACGGCCCTTCTGCAGCCATGGCTGTGGTCAGACTATTAGTCGCGCTTCTAAGTCGGATTCTGATAGGACTATCAATAGCGCGTCCGATTCTAAGTTTGATTGCACATCTAGCGCTCCTCCTGGGGGCCTAGGGGGAAATGCGAAGAGAGGGAGACTACTGCTCCGTTAGGCTCACAAAGCTCGGAAAATAGTAGGCTCGGCTGGAGCCCAGAAAAGAGACGCTGAGCTTGTAATAACCCTGCACTTCGCTGATCGAAACCCAGGAAATTACACTACACAGGGTTTAGTGCCCGACTGGTTTTCAGTGAAAATGCGGAACTGTTACGTAATTGAGCCTCTGCGACGATGTTACGGGACGCCTCGCATCGCATACCGTCGTCAGCCAGCTCTGACACGCTGACGAGCCTGCCGCGCCGAACAACGACCAAGCACCCAGCAGCCTCGCTGGCTCGGCTAGCTTGCCGAAGCACCGAATTAGAGTAAATCTGCACCTCGGGTCTGACCCGAGGTTGACCCGCGGTCGAAGGAGCCGCGGGGTTTAGAGGCTCAACCTTGGGTCTAGTGACTTTGACGGCCGTGCGCCTACAGAGGTGCAGAATGTCGCAAAACGAGTTGACGATGTACAGAAAACCGCACAGAGTTGTCGCAAAAGTGAATTGGGAGGTGTACATTGGCGGGCGATGCACTTGCGCCACTTCTAGTGCGGTAGGTTTGTCTGAGAACGGTGTGTTTCCAGTCAAGCAGCCGTCGGGAGTCGTGAGACCCGAGGCGATCTTTTTCCACCTCGGGTGTTCCCGTATGACACTAGTGTCAGACCGAGCTCCAGAATACCCTTATACCGGACCTTTCCCTACCACACCACACTTTCAACTTCGAGAGTTTTCCAGAATAAACTGGGTACAGAACTTTTACAAAAGCAAGCGATCTCGCTAAGTTCTCTGTTGACAAGTTGGTGAAACACAAAACCATCAAAGCCAGGTGAATTCCCGCCAAATTCCTACCTCCAGCCTGTGATTATGATTCGGCCTCGGTGCTTCCTGCAGTCTGCAGTCCCCGAGTCCACTGGTCCAGTACCCTTCCCCACTGCCAAGTTCCCCCGAAGTTAGAACAGAGGCAGATTTGAATGAAAACTTTTAGGGTTAATTCCTGCGCCGTGTCAACTGACATTTGCCTATGAGTTATAGGTTCGGCCGAACCTAGCCCACAGAGACGTTTTCTGGGCTCACGTTTTTCAAGCCTTGCCGAATCTCCACCTCTTGTCCCTTCCCTAATCGCCTTGTTCTTGATCGTGCCATAATCGTCCCGCTCTTGACCGTCAATAATGGTGCCCAACGCTAATAATTATAAGTACGCTTTGGTTGATGCCACCTCACCTCGAATAAGTAGCGCATGAGCGCAGCGCATACGAAGCCTCCCTCTCTACTTAGAACAAAGTTCCATCCAGGACTGGCAATTCCATTTTCCTTCACGCTGCCACAAACCACCATCACAAAAAAAAAAAACTACCCGTTGCAGCAAGCTACCATTAGCCATGGATCGGCGACTAATTGAAGGTTCACTACCGCATCAACGTAATGTCCTGCGGAACCACTCCCGCAAAGATTCCCGGCATTCCCTAATCGATGCTGGCCATCATTCCTGTATTGCTGCTGGCCATCATTTCCGCTACTCAGTCCCCTCCTCCTCCTCACGCTCCTCTCACTCCTACCGCCACCCAGTGATTTTCCCCGTATCCCCTAGAATCCTCCTACTCTTCATCCTCGTTTTACTCTCGTGTCATATCCCTTTCGTCCCGCTCACCTCTCTTCCCCGCGCCTCGGCCCAAGACTGTCAATACCTAACCTCCACTCCTTACGGCCTCGCGAAACTTCCGGAAAAGCAAGACTATCCCGGCAGCGACTTAGAATACATAGAGGGCCCTATATCCTCCGAGGAGTGCCAGCGGCGGTGCTTAAGCTTCGACCGCGGGCAGTGCATCCTCGCGATGGTCAGCGACGCGGGCGATTGTTCGCTGAAGTTCGGCGTGAATCGCCAGCCGGCGCGCAGCGCGAGCGCGACGGCGTTCGCGATGCCGTGCTTCTCGTCCGAGGCGTGCAACAAGACGGCGAACGGCAGCGCGCTCTGCGCGTCGTGTCCCACGGACTTTTCCGACCCGAACGCCCCTAGAGCCACCTTCCGATGCACCGACTCGCGATGTAAGCGCTTGAGTGCGGGACAGGGGGCGGAGAATGGTTGACCATGGGCTTCGTTTCCCCAGCCAACTCCTCCTGGGAGCTCACCGGCGAGCTGGTCCCTGACAACGCCAAAATTCCTTAGCTCCCCGTGAATCCTGCAAACAGCCATGGGCTTCATTGCTCTGGTCAACTCCTCCTGGGAGCTCACTGGGGAGCTGGTTCCTGACAACGCCACCATCAACGACATCGACGCCACGGAGTGCGTGCGGCGCTGCCAGACCTTCCCCCTTCCCCCCTCCCCCTTCCCCCCACCGCACTTAACCACCACCCCCTTACCCCTCCCCGCCCGCCCTTCTCCCAACAACCCCCTTTCTCCCCACCCCCTGACAGCCATGGGCTTCATCGCTCCAGTCAACTCCTCCTGGGAGCTCACTGGGGAGCTGGTCCCTGACAACGCCACCATCAACGACATCGACGCCACGGAGTGCGTGCGGCGCTGCCAGACGTACCCCGGGCCGTGCGTGACGGCGCAGTACGTGCCGGGCATGCAGCTGTGCACGCTCAAGAAAGAGCACGGCACGCCGGTGGACTTCAAGACGCCCGGGTTCCTGGCGTTTGTGAAGAGCTGCGCGTTTAAGAACGGGGAGTGCAAGGAGCAGCTGTGCCAGCAGGCGCAGCCCAGCACCTGCATCGACCCCAGCGGTGAGTCAAGCATCGACCCCAGCGATGTGTCAAGCAGTGGGTTGAGACATCTTAAAGGCCAGAGGTACGAGGTGTGCCATCAGCAGCGGGGGTTGCAAGGAGCGAATGTGCTAGCAGGCGCGCGCAGCCCAGCACCTGCATCGACCCCAAAGGTGAGGCGGCAGGGAGAATGTAATACCAGCATCAGAACTACACTGGTCAAACCTTCCCTGGTCCGACCTACCCTGGTCAAGCCTTCCCTGGTCCGACCTACTGCCCTGCCCAATCTTACGCTGGTCGGACCTACACTGGTCAAACCTTCTCCAATGGAACCTACACCAGTCAGACCTACCCCGGGCCGGGTGCAGCAGCGGAGAACATGCCGGCAATTCTTGTGTTTTGAGAGGCGTATTTTGGTGGGTATTCCCTAGTCTCTTTCCCCCTCCCTTTTTGAGAATTCTTCAGAATGACTCCAAGCTGGCTGGTCTACCAAGCCAGGTGTGACAGCACAGAACGTGCCGGCGGCATTTCCTGGGTTTTAAGAGGTGTTTGGATAGGCGTAATGATGTGTGAGCTTAGCGCGAGGTGACGTTTGACTCGACTCAAAAGTCACGTCGTGACAATGTCACACAATACTTTCTTGGGTTTGGAGAGGCCTCTGGAGAGGTGTAATGTTTTGTTGACTCAGCGAGGTGCGTGCAGCAGCAGTAGCGGTGCCTTTGAGGCGCCTAAGAAATAATGTTGATTTTTTAGGCGCCTCAATAATGATGTTGATTTTTTAGGCGCCTCAAAAATAATGTTGTGTGGACTCAGCAGGGTGTGTCCAAGCAATTGGAATGGAGCTGATGTGACACGGTGCAGTGCGGTGCACTGCGGTGACGGTGGTGTAGTATGTGCTGGCCCAGACGGACCCCAAGCGATAGGAATGGAGCCAACACACCCATGCTGTATATTCCGTGTGTAATGAGTCTATTTTTGAGTCGACTCAAAAATAAATCCACCCATGCTGTATACTCCGTGTGTAATGAGTCTCTTTTTTAGTCGACTCAAAAATAAGCCCACCCACGCTGTATACTCCGTGTGTAATTAGTCTATTTCTGAGTCGACTAAAAAATAAACCCACCCATGCTATATACTCCGTGTGTAATGAGTCTATTTTTGAGTCGACTCAAAAATAAACCCACCCATGCTGTATACTCCGTGTGTAATGAGTTTATTTTTTAGTGGACTCAAAAATAAACCCACCCATGCTGTATAATCCGTGTGTAATGAGCTTATTTTTTAGTTGACTCAAAAATAAACCCACCCATGCTGTATACTACGTGTGTAATGAGTCTATTTTTGAGTCGACTCAAAAATAAACCCACCCATGCTGTATACTCCGTGTGTGATGAGTCTATTTTTGAGTCGACTCAAAAGTAAGCCCACCCACGCTGTATACTCCGTGTGTAATTAGTCTATTTCTGAGTCGACTCAAAAATAAACCCACCCATGCTGTAGACTCTGTGTGTAATGAGTCTATTTTTGAGTCGACTCAAAAATAAACCCACCCATGCTGTATAATCCGTGTGTAATGAGCCTATTTTTTAGTCGACTCAAAAATAAACCCACCCATGCTGTATTCTCCCTCCCTCCTCCCCCTACTCCTTCCCCTTTACCACACCCACCCTCCTTCCCTACGCCCCTCCCTACTCCCAGAGAATGGTTTCAAGTTCGCGGACAAGGATACGGTCGACACGGGACCGGAGGTGGGTGCGGGGGAGGGGCTGGACTCAGCAGGGTGCATGCAGCGGGTTGGTTTTAAGTTGCCTCAAGGCCCCTTCCACCTCCCTCCCCACTCCCAGATTATGGCTTTAAGTTCATGGACAAGGATTCGGACTACACAGGCCCCGAGGTGGGCGGAGGGGAGGGGCTGGACTCAGCGGGGTGCGTGCAGCGGTGCCAGAAGAACGACAAGTGTGTGCTGGCGCAGCTTGACCCCAAGCGCCTCAAGCGCTGGCTGAAAAGGGATGCAAATGGTACCAACACACATGCTGTGCACTCCCTCCTTTCTCCCCATACCCCTTCCACTTTACACACCCACCCTCCCCCCCCTGCGCCCCTCCCCAGACTATGGTTTTAAGTTCAAGGACAAAGACACAGATTACACGGGACCGGAGGTGGGCGGAGGGGAGGGGCTGGACTCAACGGGGTGCGTGCAGCGGTGCCAGAAGAACGACAAGTGCGTGCTCGCCCAGTTTGACCCCAAGCGCCTCAAGTGCTGGCTCAAGGGAGAGGGGTACAACCCGCATGGCAGCCAGCAAACGGGGAGAATCAACTGGGAAAGGGTGGGGAAGGGGGTTGGGAGGAGAGAGGTGGGCGTGCTTGGAGTGGTGGTGGCAGTGGTGGTGGTGATGCTGACAGTGGGACTGTTGTAATGCGGTGCAATGCGATGTGGTGCGGTGAATGGGAGGGTATGAACTCAGAGGGGTGTAGCGCATGCTGGCCCAGACGGACCTCAAGCGCCTCAAGTGCTGGCTGAAAGGCGAGGGGTACAACCCACGTGGCAGCCAGCAAACGGGGAGACTCAACTTTGAAAGGGTGGGGAAGGGTGTCGGGAGGCAGGTAGTGGAGCTGGGAGCGGTGGTGGTGGCTGCTATGATGGTCATGCTGGCAGTAGGACTGGCGGCGCAGTGCGGTGACGGTGGTGTGGCGTGTGCTGGGCCAGATGGACACTGGGCACGTCAGGTGTTGGCTCGAGGGCGAGGGGGGTATCACTGGTATCAGTGGTATCACTAACACGCTATTTATGCAGTGGAAGTGCTGGTTAGTGTACTTGACCGCAGCATCCGTGTCATGACTCATGGCTGTGCAGCAGTAACCCTACACAGTGCTATTTATGCAGTGTGCAGCAGTAACCCTACACGGCTGCTTCTGTGGTATTTATACTGCGGTACATGCAATGCTGGTACTTGATTGCACGCAGCCGAATCGCAACTCGTGACAACCGAGTGTGATAAGGGGAACTTACTGATGTGACAACAAGTAGGGTTACTACTGATGGCTGTAGCCACACGCGTAGTAGACTTCGGCTGCACCACACCACTGACAGCATCCTAAAGAGATGTGAACTGTGATGGCAGTAGTAACGTAACACAGATAAACTGTAGGAGAAATGCCTGAGGAGGCAAGGTGGATTGGATTGGATGGGAGAGCTGTCTGTTAAAATTATATAAGTTATAATTTAATATAGGCTTGGTAGGTTGTTACTGAACCTTTCTGTAGGGGGTACAAACCCCTCCTTGTACTCCCCTCTCTTCCTAATCCAATCTCTCTTTCTTCTCGACATTCTCTCCCTTCCTAGATCCGTTTTCCTCACGCCATGCCATGGCGGCCTTCTTCCTAGTATTCTAGCCAACCTAGCCTCCTAAGTTTAAGAACCTTGAGTCCTAAGTTTCTAAGATGGTATCAGAGCCGGTCGTGTCCACCGGACCCTCTCCCTACGTTCCCGTTGCGTACTCCTACTGCATTCCCAGCCTTCGCGGTTTTCTGCCTGTCTGCCGTCGCGGCACTAAGTTGTCGCGACGGCCCCTTGTTGCCTGCCGTCGCGGCGCCAGGATGTCGCGACGGCCCCTTGTTGCCTGCCGTCGCGGCACCAAGATGTCGCGACGGTCCCTCGTTGCCTACCGTCGCGGCGCCAAGGTGTCGCGACGGCCCCTTGGTGCAGCCGTCGCCCGTCCGCCTCGCCGCTGCGACATTGACGGTGCGCTGTGGCGGCGTCTGCGGCAGCTGACGGCATCGTCGGGCTGCGGCCGGCCGAGCGACGTCTGTGGCGTCGCCGGGCCTGCCGCCCGCTCGCCACAGACGGGCATCCCTCAGGACGACGTCCTCCCGCCAGTAAGCGCCGCGCCATTTATGGCGCGTCGCTGAAGACTCGCCTCGCCCCGCCCCCTCCCCTCCCCCCCCCACCTGCACCTGCTTCCCCTGCATCCCCCCCTTTCTTGCTGCAGCCGATGACTGCCATGTGAGGGACCTCTCCACCGCCGAGGAGACAGGACATGCCGCCGAGAGGGCGGGGGCCGCCGCACCAGCCTCTGTCGTTCAAGCCGCCGGCGCCGCCGCTGTTGCCGCAGGCCTGGAGCCGCCGCACACCGCCGCCGCCGCCGCCGTCGTCACTGTCGCTGCTGCCGCCATTGCCGTCTCAAGGGGTCGTGAGACCTACCCTCTTCCGGAGTCGTTGCGGCTCCTGCTGGGAATGGGGGTGCTGGGCTAGGGGGTGTGGGTGTGGGTGTGGGGGTGTGCGTGGGCTTGACACTACCAAGCCTAGGGGGTGTGTTAAAATTATATAAGTTATAATTTAATATAGGCTTGGTAGGTTGTTACTGAACCTTTCTGTAGGGGGTACAAACCCCTCCTTGTACTCCCCTCTCTTCCTAATCCAATCTCTCTTTCTTCTCGACATTCTCTCCCTTCCTATATCCGTTTTCCTCACGCCATGCCATGGCGGCCTTCTTCCTAGTATTCTAGCCAACCTAGCCTCCTAAGTTTAAGAACCTTGAGTCCTAAGTTTCTAAGACTGTCACCCATGCCAACATGCATCAACTTTCATGGGCATCTTTTGCTGGCTGTCAGTGTCACGGTGCCTGCAGTAAGGACAGCCCCCCCACAGCCATCAGACAACGATGATCATGCCTATCCATCCTAGAGCCTTATTGTCATCTCTAATAACCCCGCCCCGCGAGATCTATTTTGTGCTATAAGAGGAAGATGGCTATATGAGTGCAGGAAGATGGAAAGAGGACAAAAATCAAAACATTGTCAACCATACCGCTGCTGACAAGGAGGACAAAAACCAAGAGCGCACTCAGCATGCCGCTGCCGACCCTAATCAATCCACTATGCAACATGCCCCCATCTATCCAGGCTTTTACGGTACTTCAGTCCTTTTTACCCGACCAATGATCAATCCCCTCTGCAGAACTCCCACACCTCCATACCCTACTCCATTTCTACCTTGTCCAATCCACCACAGTTAGCTCCAGTCTAATCAATAAAACTCGTTTCTTTAGGGAGATTGACCATGGGATCCCACAACCACTCTGCTCCCTGCTTAAGGTCTGATTCCCGCTTCCATCCCATACAGCTGAAACCCCGTGCTGCTGTTGCTGACACTCACACAGCCGCAGCTGCTGGACACAGCTCTTGTCAAGGTGATGGGCCATGCTACCCTGAAACTACTCTGCTCCCAGCCAGGGGTCTTATCCCCGCTTCCATCCCATCCAGCTGAGCCCTCGTGCTGCTGCTGCTGACACCCACACTGTTACTGCTGCTGCTGCTGTTGCTGCTGCTGCTGCTGCTGGACTGGACACAGCCCTTGTCAGGGTGACGGGCCATGCGACCCCGAAACCACTCGGCTCCCAGCCAGGGGTCTTATCCCCGCTTCCATCCCATCCAGCTGAACCCCCATGCTGCTGCTGCTGACACTGACACTGCCGCAGCTGCTACTGCCACCACCACCACCACCACCACCACCACCACCACCACTGCCGCCACCACCGCTCATACTATGAGACCCAATCCCACTGTAGTGCGGCCGTAACGGTGCATATGACACCCTGCCAACCCCGCTGTTGCTTACTCCGAGGCTGCTTATAAAGAGGACAACCGCGGCTGCCGTGCTGTTGCTCATGATCTGGGCCCAGAGCCGCTGCGCCCAGAGGGTCTTAGAGAGGGGAGGCAGGAGTGCGAGGATGGCTACTAGGAATAAAGCAGCAATAGTAGGAGCATCGTAGAGGTCCGAGAGCGAGTTAATAGTCGAGAGCACGCACCCGGCTTTAACCTGAATGACACTAGAGGGGATGAATCCGAAGAAGGTTCCGATGAGGTAGATGCGGATGGGGATGCCTACTAGGGGGGAGCAGAGGTTGACCACCCAGGTCGGCATGATGGGGGTGATTCGCAGCGATATGACATAGTAGATTAAGGAGGTATAGTGCCGCTGCACCTCGGTCCGCATCCAGTCGCACTTATCCGGGAAATAATAGTACACTATGTCCCTTAGCAGAAAGTGGGAGATGGTATACGACGCGCAGGCACCAGTGGTAATCAGGACACTGATAGTGAGCAGCCCGGGAAAGAACCCGAAGAGCGACCCCGCGAGTAAATTCATGCAGATGGTCCCCGGAATACAGAAGGACTGGAGGAAAAGGTAGAGGTTGACGAAGATGACCACCACACGGAGGGGGAACTCGCGCTTGTAGAGGGCGAGGGTGGCGCGCACGGCGCGCAGCTCTGCCATGTTGCGGGGGATGCGGAGGAGGAGCACCACCTCGAGCTCGTCCTCTGACTCGTACGATAGGTCCATGTCGTCGTCTTCCAAGTCTCCGTCCCCATCCCCTTCAGCTTCCTCCTCCCCTCCTTCTCCTCCTTCTCCCCCCTCCTCCTCGTTTTCTTCGTCGGCCAGCGAGGCTGCTGCACCGGCAGCAGCAGCATCGAGTGGGAAGTCGGAATCGGTGTTGTCTAATGACCCTGATACCGTCACTGGAGTGTGCTGCTGCTGGTGCTGTGATTGCCCTCCAGGAAAGAAGCTGCTGCCTTGAGTGTAGCTGCCATTGCTGCTGATACCACTGCTGCTGATACCACTGCTGCCACTGCTGCCACTGCTGCTGCTGCTGCTGCTTCCAGCGGTGCTGCTGCTGCGACTGCTGCTAGTTCTGGACCCAGTGGTTTCGCCAACCCCTGTTTCAGCTCCTGCTGATGTGGAATCAGTCATCCGATCCCCATTGCCTGTCGATGTCTTGGCCCACTCGGATTCGTCCAGGTCAGCAGTGAGATCCGGAATCCCTGCCACCTCATCATCCTCCACCGCCCCATCTTGCAGCAGCTCCTGCTTTAGCTGCTCCTGATCCACCTTCACATCTCCTATCCCATTACTGCTGCTGCTGCTTCTGTCTACACCACTGCTCTCGTTACTGCCACTGCTGCTTAAGTCACCGTCCTCTTTACTTCTTCTCTCGTTACTGTCAATTACGTCAGTCACATCCTCAGTTGGCCCCTCCCCTGTCTCGTTGCTGCTGCTATCGTTACTGCCGCTACTGCTACTGCCACCGCTACTGCTGCTGCTGCTGCTGCCACTGCTACTGCTGCTACTGCTAGTGTCAGAAGTAGAGCCGCTTCTAGTCAGTTCCTTAGAGCTGCTTTCACTTACTGCTGCAAACCCTCCCTCGGTCCCTTTCTGAGAGCTGTATCCATTACCCCTCTCGTCAATCCCTCGGTTGCTTCCAGTGACACTCCCACGGCCAGTTGCATCGCTGCTCGCTATAATGCCGTTATTTCCGATTGCGTTTCCATGAATGACTGTATCGTGTAGTTTACTGTACCCTTTGCTTCCCTCGTGCATGAAACTCGCCGTCCCCTTGGTTCCGAAAAGGCCACTAACGCGGTGGCCGTTATTTTCCCTCCGCAACCTATTCCGCTGGATGGCCTGTAGCGTGTGGACACGTGGCAGCATGAGAAACGACGACAGCACGAACGTGAGCCACGCGAAGAAGAGAACAGCCAATAGGAGCAGCCGGCGGCTCCATTGCGACCCGAGAATCGCGGAGACTCCTGCGACCAATCGCTGCTCGTTGACCGGGCTCAGAAGCCCTAGGTTGCTGTTACCGCCACCTAAGATCCCTAAACTGCCGCTGCCGCCGGTGCTGCTGCCGAAGCTGACGTGGTTGGATGGGCTCGTCATTGTTGCGGTGGCTTTCTAGTAGCGATGTGACATAGACGGGGTTTTTCCATAAGTGAGAATGGGATTCGTGGTGGTCCGAAGTTAAGAAAAGACACGCGGCAGTTGAGGAACGCGAGGGGACAACACGAAGGAGCAACGTGATCTAAGAGTAGATACTAGGAGTAGGAGCAACTGACGGAGATAACGGAATCTGAGGCCGTCACGACTTCGTGAAAGGTTTCTTCGTGAAGGTTTTGCGTCTAAGGAACTCTGGCAAGAGAGGTGGACCGTGGAGGAGGAGGAGGCGGGAGAACGGATGCGGGAATGTAGTCGGGGTCCAGATTCGAAGACTTGAGATGTTCGTGCTGAGACGAGAGAGGAACTAATTGGGGATTCAGTGCACCCTCGTAGTTATTTCCTAAAGTCACGGAAATGGCGGGAAAACACGTTTCTGCAAAGCGATTTCCTCGTTTGTGTCGCGTTTCTGATGAGATAGGTCGGAACTGTTGCCGGGACAATCGCTACTAGGACGGCTATGCGGTGTAGGCAGAACTATGATATGGTCCAGTTATATAACTTCATCCAAATTCTAGGATATGGGTCAGGGCTGACGTTTCAAAAAAAGTCTTGTGAGATGGGGCCAATCCCACGGCCCGTGAGATGGCTGTTGTGATAAATGAAGTTTTGCATTCCTGCAAGTTCCGTTTTTGGTGTAGCTAGCAGTATCAAGTTTCTCAATAAGCATCCATGTATCAAAAATTAGAATTGAATAAATCGTAATGTGAGAGTACACACAAATATATCTAAGTTTTGTATCCTCTAAGAGGTGACTCTATACAGTCTATACAAACATGACAAATACACATGTTTGACACACCCCCTAGACTGCATAGGGGAATACCCTAAACAAGCAGCTCAGGGCGGCACTACTAGTCCAACCTCTGAGGCAAGGGTCTGAGCGACCGGTCAGAAGGAGTACAGACAAGGCAAGCACAAGAGCAGGGCGGCACTACTAGTCCAGCCACTGGGAGAGGACACAAGTCCAGTCTGAGTATACATATAAAGGACAGTACAAAGTCAAGGTCCTACCAAGTGAGAGGCTACAGGAACTAGACCAAGCTGTACACAGTGCCGCTGATGATCTTTAGGCGCAAGCGCCTTCGTAAAGATATCAGCCGTGTTGGCACCTGAGGCCAAGTGTACTACGCGAGCCTGACGTCGCTGTTGTAGCTCACGCAGGAGGAAGTACCGCAGCTGAATGTGCTTCGCTCTGCCCTCGAGTCGAGGCTCTTGACACAGGAGGATCATGGCCCTGTTGTCAGCGAACAGGACCGGGGCAGAGCTAGGCCGCTCACCTAAGTCAGTGAGCAAGAAGGTCAGCCAGCGGAGCTCCTGTGCCGCCATGGCACCAGCGTAGATCTCAGCCTCACAGCTGGACTGAGCAACAGACGAGGAGCGGGTAGCTCTCCACGAGACGGCACATGAGCCAAGGCTGAAGCAGTAGCCCTGGGTAGACCGGAGTGTCTCAGCGTCGTCTGCCCACGAAGCGTCTGTGTGCCCAGTAAGGACCACTGGCCTGCGTCCTCCTAGCACTAACCCCATGCCCGATGTACTAGCAAGATAACGCAGAACCCTCTTAGCGGCAGACCAGTGCTGCGGTCGGTGTCTGCCTGTGGCCACAAAGCGAGCCAGGATGCTGAGAGGGTATGCGAGATCTGGGCGAGTGCAAGTCATCAGGTACATGAGGCAACCCACCAGCTCTGCGTAGGGGCCGCTAGGCTCTACCAACTCCTCAGGCACTGGAGCGGAGAGCCTGTGGTCTACAGGCAGAGGGGTGGGCTGTGCAGAGGAGAACTGAAGGCTGAACCTCTGAAGGACCTGGCGCACCAAGTGTGACTGAGTCAGGGTGATGGTGCGCGCAGCTCTGTCCCTGGAGATCTGCAAGCCAAGGTAACGGCGCAGTTCTCCAAGGTCAGTGCAGGTGTGTCTCTTCAGCAGCTCTGCCTTCACGCAGGCCAGCGCGTCCCTGTCTGCTGTGGCAAAGACCAGGTCGTCGACGTAAACGAGGATGTAGAACGGAGTCTGGCCAGCACGAACGAAGAGTGAAGGGTCTGCAGAAGACGGAAAGAACTGCAGGTCAGCAAGCGTAGCACGCAGAGTGTCGTGCCACTCACGGGGAGCCTGGCGCAGGCCGTAGACGGGGCGCCGCAGGAGCCACTGGGTCCCAGGAGGGAAGGTGCCAGTAAAGCCCGGAGGGCGGCGCAGGTAGACCTGCTCGTGTAGGCTGCCCTGAAGGAAGGCAGTGGAGAAGTCGAGGGAGTGAGGCTCGTAGTCACGCTGAGCAGCTAGGTGTAACAGAACCCGAAGAGTAGTCATCTTCGGGGTCGGAGCGATAGTCTGGAAGAAGTCCACCCCCTCGCGCTGACTGAAGCCTCTAGCCACATAGCGCGCCTTGAAGACAGGCGGCTCTCCAGGAGGGCGCTAGAGGGCCTGGGAGGGGCGCGACGGGGCCTGAGGGGGGGGGCGCTACGGGGCCAGGGGGGATGAGCGGAAGCGGTAGGTGGGGGGGGATCCTACCTACGCGTGATACCATATCAAAAATTAGAATTGAATAAATCGTAATGTGAGAGTACACACAAATATATCTAAGTTTTGTATCCTCTAAGAGGTGACTCTATACAGTCTATACAAACATGACAAATACACATGTTTGACACCATGCCCGAGTGCTGATGTCAGCAAAGCATCGCGTGTCTACGGGATGACGTCAGCATACCGCCAGGCCTGTCGCTATCAGGGTATTTTACCCTGATTCCCTGATTTCATAGGGTATTTTTTGGCCAACCCTTAATTTTCAGGGTTGGGCTTTTTTGAACCCTAACCTCTTCAGGGTTGTATGTCTGTGAACACTTTGAATTTCAGGGTTTGCGTTATCCCAACACTGAGTTTTCAGGGAGTAACGCGTATGAACCCTGAGTGCGACATCCATGTAGCTCACAATGCGGAAATTTAGTCGAAGTCCCCAATCTCCAGAGACATTCCCTCCCACACACAACAACCTACAAAAATTGGTGAAGTCCTCAAACATTCCCTCACACACCAAGCAACCCACAAAAATCGGCTAAGTCATGTGTCGTACAGACATCCCCCCTACACACCTAACAACAACCCACAAAAATTAACTAAGTCTTGATAGGCAGTGACATCACAAAAAAAAAACGGCTTAGTCCTATTGTACATAAGTTATCCCCCCTCCCACACTCCCACAACCAGGGCTCGCCACCCCCCTACCAGCAACCCTGTCAACGCTTGTTTTGCGTTGATAAATCTGGGAAACGGGAAAGCCATTCCTAAAAATCGAGGGGGTAAAATCGCACTGCCACGTAAATCGAAACTGAGGGGAGGGGGAATCGAAACCGATGGGGAAATGGGGAGGGAATCAAAATGGGGGGGGGGAACGTGGGGGGTGGTGTCGAAACAGAGAGGATGGGGGAAGCGAACGGAGGGGAAGGGGGAAGTGATCGAAACGGAGGGGAGGAGGGAATCGAAAATGGAGGGGAAGGGGGGAATCGAAATGGCAGGAAGGGGGGAAGCTGGGGCATAAGGCGGTGGGAGAAATTTCGCGCCCTTGCAGCGCCCCGGTTGGGAAATCCTAGACGTTAATCACTACCTACCATCGAACGATTGATATTTGTCGAAATGATCGCAAACGATCGTAACCGTTACATTTTGTTAGACTTTCAGTTGACCAAATGGGCAAACTGGCGAGAATTTCCCTATGTTTAAAATGCAGAATTTACTCTCATTCCAATGCAGTTAAAAAAAATATGTGAAAGTCTCATTCAAAACTTTGACGTGTGTTCCAGGTGTTTTTTTATTGCCCGTGTGGTCAACTGAAATTCCATCAAACTTTGCTCTTCCCCTCCCCTCGGCTTGATTCCCTCCCCTTTTTCCCCCCATTTTTTATTCCCCCCTCGTGTTGAAAGCAACCCTGAACGCGTTCGTTGCTCAGCAATGCAACCCTGTTTGTGGCTGGCCAACCCTGGAGGTTTCAGGGTTGTAAGTTCCAGAACACTGAGAAATCGAGGAAGCTAAAATTCCAACACAAGGCCCTCAGGGTTTTTTTTTTTTTTTTTTTTTTTTTTTTTCCATTCGACAGCTCAGGGTGCTTTTTTTTTAAACGACAGCCCTGGTCGCATTGTTAAAGTGAGAACTGAATGATGGACTAGAAGTGGAAACCTAGAACAAATACTAGTTGGTTGTACTCACTAGAAGCATACCTCAGTCTAGCCTATAAATTCTATATAGCTAATATGTATAAGTTGACACACCCCTAGGCTAGACAAGGGGTGAAGCTTGTTGGAAATATCTCAAAGGACTTGAGCGTTTCTGAAGTATAACACTGCACTCGAGGAAGACTACAGGGGAGCACGCGAGTCAACGGAGGTTGCACGAGGGGGCGGACAAAGAATGCGAAAAGACTCGAAAGGTCGCAACTGGAGGTTACGACTGACCGTTACAACATCACGGGATGGTAACCGAAGCGGCAATCGAGTCGCTGTGCGACTCGATAAACCGTTCCTGTAACTGTATTCTACAACTGCTTTCTTATCTTCTATATATTGCTGTATGCTTGTTTCTTTAATCAATCACTTGTTCTCACATACTAGTACAAGGGTTCAACCGTCTCAACTTCCGCTACACTACTCAAAGTCTCAAGTCTTCACAGCTGGGACTTAGTCTCTGAAAAGATCCTAAGGGCTTTTTCTCAGCCCAATATGGTATGAGAGCTGGTCAGAGACCAAACTCCCAGCAACTGCGCTCCATCAACCTGCAACTCAACTCAATTCAACGACTTCATTGATCACAAGACATGGACAGCAAGGGCAAGAAAGTCTCTACGGGCTCACCCAGCGGCCAAGAAACTCAACACGGCAACTCTGGTCTGCACACCTCAGGACTGCAGACAGAGACCGGGACTGCTCAAGAAACAACGGGAAGAGTACCAGAGATGGTGACTCCATCTCCCTCTTCAAGCATGGACCCCAACCTTATGGAAAGGTTCTTCAGCTTCATGTCGCACTTCGACCAGCAGCAGCAGACAAGGACACCTGCGCATTCAACACAGAGCAATGGAGGAAACATGGGATTAGCGCCGATGAGCCTCGACAACTCATCGTTTGGGCGACACAATCAAGCGCCTACCTTTGCGCCTTATCACTCTTCACCGGGGACGTTCGAGTTCATGCCGCCCCGTGCCCAACCAACAGCAGCTGCATCACAACAAACACCAAACGAAATCTTAAGTCTCCAGGCGCAGTTTTCACACGTGATTAAACTGCAGACATCCTCACCGTTCAACGGACACGACTTCTTTACCTGGAGCTTCGAGTTCGAGCTGCT